GCGGGGGAAGGGAGGGGGCGTTTGGCTGGCCGCCCCGCTCTTGATTGGGGTGGGAGAGTCCAATCAGAGGCAGGCAGCAGGGAGGAGGAGCTGTGAGGTTGGCTGGCCAGCCCCACCCCCTGATCAGGCTGGTTCGCTGGCCACAGTGGGCGTCATAGCAACCAGTCTTTACGGGCCCTTATGGTCGCTGGCTTTTTATATATATAGATTGGCTTTGGGGTTATAGACCAGTGCTGTTCAATAGAAATATAATGCAAGCCACATATGGAATTTAAGATTTTCTAGTAGCCGTATTAAAAAAAGTAAAAAGAAATGGGTAAATTAATATTAATGTTATTTAACCCAATATATAAAAAACATTTAGACATGTAATTAATATCAAAATTATTAGAGATTATTTTACATTCTCTTTTTTTGTACTAAGTCTTCCAAGTCTGGTGTGTATTACTTTACACTTATAGCACATCTCAAGTCAGACCAGCCACCTTTCGAGTGCTGAGGAGCCACGTGCGGCTGGTAGTGAGCATGCTGGACAGCGCATTTCTAGATCCTGGTAACAGCCATGGACTACATCAATATAATACATATACATATGAAATTGTGTGCAAATTAAGGGGCTCACATTCTAAAAGTCCATTCAAGATTTGGCCAACTTAGTCAAGGGAGACTTGATTTAAAAACCCTTCCATCTTCTCAACTATAGGGAGAATCCTGCCTGTCACATCTCTTAATAGTCACTTCTTCCCCTTCCCTCACAGTCACAGTTCCTCTCATCCATTTGTCCCAATGTTGTAAGAATACATCAGACCAGATTTTTCTTAGGTTTGTATTTTTCTGATTTGTAGGTGAATGTGAGTAAAAAGAAAGGAGATGGGGATGTACTGAAGGATCTTATGAAAACTGCAGGCACCGCCAAGGTCAGGGAGGCCCTTGGAGATTACCTGAAGGCACTTAAGACGGGTAAAGAAGGCATCCCTTGTGGACCCGGGGCCCCTTTCCTGCGTATGCTCTGCACTGTGCTCTGGATTTGCAGGTCAGGCTGACATCTAAGGCTCCAGAAACAACTCTATGCTGCAGGATAAATTGTATTCTGGGTGTTGAGAGCTGGTCATAAGTAAGACCATAATTAGTGATTGTCAGTATTGTACACCACGTGAACCATTTTGTCTATAGGACTGTTAAGTTTTCTGGAATGAATGATAATCATTTAATCAGTTATTTGTATAATTAGTTAATTGTTGTCTTCCCTGCCAGACCATAAGCTCCATGGGGGCATGGAAGGGGTCTGTCTTGTTCATTGCTGTATCTCCAACATCTAGCACAATGCTTGGCACATAGTAGGTGCTTAATAAATCTTTGTTGAATGAATGACTGCAGGTAGTACAGGTGTAGTTGAGATTTACCTAGGTAACCCCTACCTATACTATGTGGAAGTGAGGTTATTTATTGCTTTCTTCCCTACATTAGATAAGTTACTTGCCAGGCAAAGTGGCCAACAGGGGCCTGTCTGCATAGCTTCCTTGGGTTCTGCTGTGTCTAGGTGTTGGCATAGATAGGTTTGAGGTTGCCACTGGCCCACAGGCCTGAATATCGTGAGGTGGTGGTGAAGCAATGTGAAAGTGTCCAGTTTTGACAGTAGATGAAGGCCATAAAGCTATTAATAGTTTAAAAATGAGGTTTTTGGGCCAGCTGGCGTGGCTCAGTGTTGACCTATGAACCAGGAGGACATGGTTGATTCCTGGTCAGGGCACATGCCTGGATTGTCGGCTTGATCCCCAGTATGGGGTGTGCAGGAGGCAGCCAATCAATGAAACTCTCTCATCATTGATGTTTCTCTCTCCCCCTCTCCTTTCCTCTCTGAAATCAATAAAATACATATTTTTTTAAAAAAAGGTTTTTGGAAGAGCATTTGAAAATTTTTGCTGTTTTGTCAAGAATTGAATAAAAGGCATTTGAAAAAATAAAAGGCATTTGTTGCTATGTAACTCATGTTAGTTTTATATATAAAAACTAGAGGCCCAGTGCACGAAATTCATGCACTGGTAGGGTCTGTAGCGGCTGCCGGCCAGGTACTCCCTCCCTTCCCCTGGCCAAACTCCTGGTCAAGGGGACAATTTGCATACTATGCTTTTATTATATAGGATGTGTAATGTTCTTGAAATTCTCAAAATGATTTAGGACTCTTTTTTTACACTTTTTTTGGGTTTTCTGCCAATTGATGCTGAAAAGGAAAAAAGCTCCTTATTAAAACCATTTCCTATGTTTCCTTTGTAGAATTTACAATGGGAATGATTTTACCAACGAAAGCAACCGCAACTCAGGAATTGACTGTTAAAAGGAAACTGAGTGAGAACACCTTGCAGGTATGATCTCTAGTGGTCAACATGTAGGGAAGGGGGAAGGAAGTGCTTAGTGAGAATTCTTCAAAGCTCTCAGCAGCCTTTCGATGATGGACTATAGAGCATAGTGAGTCCATCCTTGCCTCCATGCTGTTGTTTTTTTTGTGGGGGAGGGGGTGATGAGATTCTCATCTTTGATGGAAGGGAATGTGTAAACACCTTTTTGTGGGATATTGAATTTCATTCAAGATTATTCTAAAGGCACTGTTCTTTGGTAGCAACAGATTTCAAAACCAGGTGACTTTGAGGTTCAATGGACCAACCTTCTCTCCAAACTTTTAGATTGGGAGGTTTTAAATCCTGTTCTTGGAATCTTGTGGTGTAAACTGACACTTTGTCCTTATGTGCTATTGTCTTTCATCTGCTTATCTTCATACCCTTTAAGCCACATTTATATGTCCAAGTAGGACTTGGGTGTTAAACCATAGCCCAGAAGAACAGAGCTAAAGAGCTCATAGGAATAATGAGCTGTTTCCAAAGTAAAGGCCAGAACCGGTGGTGCTAAAAAGCCTTTTCATGCTCTCTCTGTTTCTGGAATGGGTAGTGTGGAATTTGGGCTATTTTGGTGTTCTATTAAGGCAGGAAGACTGAATTTTAAAATCTAAGCCACTTTATAACTTGGAGTGCTAATTATCCTTTGAAACCTCTTGAGATTCAGGTGCCACTGGGTGTCAGGATCCCCACTGTGGCGCTGCACATGACGGAGCTGTTCGACGCAGGTGTAGAGCGGCTGTATAGCATCTTCACTGTGAAAGAGGTGAGTCACTTCTCAAGCTAGGATCTTAAATGCTGGCACTGGGAGAAAATGTCCCACTAAGATATGGAGCTGGATTTTGGTATCCCTTATGTTCACGTTTTCCTGATTGAAGGTCGAACTCATTTTTTTGGTTGATTTTTCTTTGTTAAATGGCATTTAAATATATAAAATAAATATCAAAAATATAAATCTTTGTTTTACTATGGTTGCAAATATCAAAAAATTTCTATATGTGACACGGCACCAGAGTTAAGTTAGGGTTGTTCAAAATGCTGACACGCCGAGCTCAAAAGGTTCGCCATCACTGATCTAGAATGTGGGGATACAAGTCTTTAGGGTAGCTTCTGAAATATTTGGGGGGGAATATATCAGTAATTAGGGGATACATAAATTTACTTAGTTTTCTCTGTGAGGAAGAGAAAACTGTAAATAATTACAAGCTACACATTCAGGACTTAAAAATTCTCTCTCTCTGCCTCCCTTCCATCAAAAGGTTCGCCATCACTGATCTAGAATGTGGGGATACAAGTCTTTAGGGTAGCTTCTGAAATATTTGGGGGGGAATATATCAGTAATTAGGGGATACATAAATTTACTTAGTTTTCTCTGTGAGGAAGAGAAAACTGTAAATAATTACAAGCTACACATTCAGGACTTAAAAATTCTCTCTCTCTGCCTCCCTTCCATTCTAAAAAAAAAAAAAAAATCAATGGAAATATCCTCATATCAAAAATATAAGTCTTTGTTTTACTATGGTTGCAAATATCAAAAAATTTCTATATGTGACACGGCACCAGAGTTAAGTTAGGGTTGTTCAAAATGCTGACACGCCGAGCTCAAAAGGTTCGCCATCACTGATCTAGAATGTGGGGATACAAGTCTTTAGGGTAGCTTCTGAAATATTTGGGGGGGAATATATCAGTAATTAGGGGATACATAAATTTACTTAGTTTTCTCTGTGAGGAAGAGAAAACTGTAAATAATTACAAGCTACACATTCAGGACTTAAAAATTCTCTCTCTCTGCCTCCCTTCCATTCTAAAAAAAAAAAAAAAAATCAATGGGAAAAATATCCTCATGTGAGGATTTAACAAAACAACCCCCCCCCCCAAACCATAGTAATTATTCTATACTGAACTAACGTCTATGTTTTCCTTGGTTAGTTGGTGCAGAAATTTTCTAAATCTCCTGCCATATTAGAAGCTGAAAAGGGAGGGAAATTCCAGATGTTTGATGGGAATGTCACCGGTGAATATATAGACCTGGTAAGAAATCTCTGGTTAAAAAAAAGTAAGCTGGGGACCGACTCATTTCTGTTACCATTGCTTTTTTACTTGCTTTGGGCTTTTAATTGAGCTCACAGAAACTTGAGAACTTTATATAGTTGGTTGTAAAGCAAATAAAAAATGTTATATATCATGAGAAAGTTGAAGCCTTAATTTCACAATATTTGTGCAAATGCTTATGATTTTAGAAGAAACAAGTATAATTCTCCCAGCTCTTGGTGTAGAACATTCAGCTTTCTGCCACCTGACTCACAGGGTCTGCAGTGTCAAGTGTTAGCAGCTCTGCTCCGTTCCCTGTGTTACACTTGTCCTGACGTTAACTGCTGTTACAGATTTTGGCACCAGGGACAATGAATTCTCAATGGTTTTGGCATATAAACTGAAGGTGGGACTGTATGTTGTTCACTGATAACTTTTAGTACATAAGGGTTTTGATGAAAGGCTTCGCTGTTTTTCTGTATAGTACTGTAGGAAATTTAAAAAGATGTTTTCAATATAACTTCCTCTTTGTTTTCAGTTAACAAATGAAAAGATTGTCATGAAATGGAGATGTAGGAACTGGCCAGAAGGTATGTTATTAGTACCGTTTCTTTGTTGTAAGAGTCCGAACACTCAAGCTGTACTCATGTGTTTTCCTCTTCATAATGGTTCCTATTTTTCTTCCAGAACACTATGCAACAGTTGTACTGAATTTTGTGCCTACTCCAGGGCAAACGGAATTACAGTTGGACTGTAAAGGAGTTCCTGTCTGTAAAGAAGAGAACATGAAATTCTGTTGGCAGAAGCAGCATTTTGAAGAAATAAAAGGTTTACTGCAGCTGACCACTCTAAATGGTTGAATTAGAAGATTTTACAAGAGCATTACTTTTTGTAAGCAGAAAGTTACTTGTTCCCTATCATTTCTTTTAAAAAAGGACAACAGAAATCTTAATTTATATTGGATGAGATCCATGAACTTTTACAGATTTTAAAGCATTGTTTGAATCTTGACTACAAGTAAGAAGTAGCAAGCAACCTGAAATTAAGTACTTAACCTTACCTCCCATAGATGCTCCTCTGGGAATACATTGAATTCCTGAGTACAGATGTAGTTTCCTAGCCTAAAGTTTGTCCTTGTAGCAAGCTTACTTTCTGGTGTAGTTTTAGTTCAGGAAGACAAGAATAAGTGGCATGTTGATGTCATTCCTTTATTTACTTCAGGGTTTCTAAGGTAGGTAGCTCTTAGGTTAGTGAAACAATGGCATGTTGCACTCAGAAGCATGTTGAAGTGAGAGGAGTTGGTTGTATTGTCACACTTTTCCCTGCAGCAATAAGCATTACAGGGTGGAAAGACTGAACAGTCTATGGGAATAAGTTACTTTTGGACTGCCACTAACCTCTGACGAAATAGAATACAACCGGTAAGTGCTTCCCCCATTCACAGTTTTCTCATTACTTTCACCTGAGAAGACTGAAGCAACGTATGTAAACAAATTAAAAGTAATCACAATCAGTTTAATTAAGTGCACAGAATAGCAATCAGTCATGTCAATAAAAATAAAACAATTATTTTTACATCAAGTGTGCTTTATTTCCTCCACAGGTATTCTGTTAAATAAAGCACCATTTATATACTGCCAGGCCACAGCTAAAGAGGATTCTTTACAGAATCAAATTTCTTGTGGTTGTTCCGTATACAAGTAAACTTAATTTTGATAATAAGAACCACAGCGATCGGAGGCAATCTGCCTCTATTATAAGGTACAAAACTGGCACAGAAGACACCATATTATACACAGTAAAAATGCTGTAAGTTTAAATTACATTGTACAGGGCCAGGGAACCCTGTTCCTCCCAGACAGCCATATTAAATGAAAGCCACTACAGTGAACTCTTAATTACATAAAACATATCCATTATCTGATTGCCCTTTAGAAAGTATACTGAAGATGCAAATTTCTTTTCATCTGGAGTTCTGCCTGACCAAGAATTAAGCCTATAAATCTATCTTGCCATTCAAGCAGAAAGCACTGGACAAACTGAAGCACAAAAACAGAAATAAGCAAAACTTATACAAACAGCATTGGGGAGCAGGGGGACCTTAAAAGTAGACATGCTACATCTAATGTCAAGAAGCAGCTTGGTTTCCTTTGCCAGATATCCTTATGACCACGTGAATTGTAGACTCAATGGTTCTGCACAGGGTATCTAAAATGTCGTGTTGCTGCATGTGACTCAAGAGTCCTCTGGAATGGCCACAACTGAGTGACAACGCAGCCTCAGGGTCCTGGGAGGGCAAAGGTTGACCATCACAGCTTCTCAAGTCAGCTAAGTCAGACAGAACGGCAGAGATAGAAGTAGAAGGGAACTCTGATTCGTCCTCAGCTAAGTTGGAATCCTTGGGACAGTGGAGGTCTTTAAAGTCTTTACACTCTTCAAACCTACCACTGTTGGACTGTTCTTCTGCATGCTGTGACCTGGTATTTGACATGTCTTCTGAAAATGAAGAGGGAACTTCCATTCGGTATTCTTTAACAGAACTATTTTCAGGGGAAGGAAGATCTTGCTCAGTTCCTGGATCGATAATTGAGGAGTCTCTCGTCTCATTGTCTGAAGTGCTGGTTGGGGTCAGGACTTCCCTGGTGTCTGTTTTCATGTCGCTGATGCTGTCTGCAGTGTGCTCCTCATCACTGCTGACACGCCTTCTTTTAACAGGCGTCGCCCCTTCATCATCTGTGAAGACATCAAAACGAACTTCTGTGAAAGGAGCCACTAAGATCACACCGAGGGAGGGGGTGTTTATGGAAATTTCCTTACACATTCACATTTAGGAGGCCCATGTGAACAAAGAGCTATTGTATGGTCACTTACACCGAGTGTATTCCCTCCTCCCACCCTAAAGTTAATTCTGGTCCATAAAACTAACCTTTAGTTTTTCTTTCTTTGGCTTCTTGCTCTTGGAGTGAGTTTCTCTGCTGCAGACAAGTCCTGCATTTGCTTAAAAGCTCTTGCAGAGTTGGAATTAGAGCTGGGTTTAACTGTTTGGGAGTGTGTACCGACAGGAGCAAAGCAAGTGCCCGTAGGTCCTACAACAACCCGGACACGAACATTTCAAATTCTAAAGCCAACATTTGAAACACTTTGTTCACAGTTCAATGCACATATTTACATTCCCAGGAAGCTACCCTGGCTTCTCTGGCATTTTTAGAAGAATGCTGCAACTAGAAAGCCAATGTTATGATACTATATCTCATCAGTCCTAAGTAACTAATACCATTATTTTATACATCACATCATTTAAAAAGTCAGACCGGAGACAAATAGTGTTTTCTGAAAATGGGGGGGGGATAAAACTTATATAGGAATGTAAAAAAAAAAAAACAAGCCCTGAATGATCTGTGAGAAATTTAGGGCTTATTAATCTAGAAATCAGTTTCTCAAATATGTGAAAAACAGTACGGTCTTCTCCCTCATCTCTCTAATCTGCTGGCACCAGCATTTTGTTACTCAGGAGGCTGCTGCTGGAGACATGCCAGCACATATCCAGGATGTTCCCTTATTCTATGGCATGGCCATCATGGGAGCCGACATAAGGCAACTTACTAATTGCCTAGTTTTAACTGGCTTTATAATAGATTATTAATCTGATTGGTTAGTTACTTATGAGCCATAGGCAATAGAAAAATCACAATTGTTTCAAAAAATGTAAACAAGTAGAGCTAAAGGGAATGTCTTTTAGTGGTCATACTGCCTTAGGCATTTAATGACATTAACTCATGTCTTTTAAGGTAGTGAAAGTGTGCACCCTGGCCAGTGTGGCTCGACTGGTGTCTCCTGTGCACACTGAAAGGTTGCCGGTTTGATTCTTGGTCAGGGCACCTTCCCCGTTGCAGGCTTGATCCCCACTAGGGGACATCTAGGAGGCAATCAGTGTTTCGTTCTCAAATTGATGTTACTCTAAAAATTAAAAAATGTATATTTAAAAGTGTGTGTGCTATGTACATAAAAGGCATAGTGAACAAATTTTTAAAATTCTGATTAGTTTTTCATATTTGACTTCTAGAGTTTGAATAATAAAGGCATAATAAAATCACAGTAAGGCCAAATTCAGAGTTGATGTAAGGAAGGTCTGAAGTCCACAGTTCTTACCCCATTTAATGCAGCACTTGCTTTGGACATTTCAATTCGGTTGGTGAAATCAGATTGCAGGTTCTGATACTGATTTATCAAGTTTGTAATAAGGGTGCTGATCAAATTGGCACAGTTTGCTTCAGAAAACACTTGACCTTGAACCTGAAAAAAAGGGATTAAAAAATCTCCAAAAGACCAACATAATGAAAACACAACCATTAACTAACTGGAAGTAACATACTGAGTTTTCAAAGTACAACATACCTTTAGAAGAAAATGAGTCATGAATGTGTAGACAATGTTGTTGTTTAGGAAAGTTCTTTCATCCATTAGGATACATTTTATATATTCTGCAAAAACGGGATCTTCACACAAAAGCTTGATGCAATTTTTTGACAGGGCAGACTAAAGTGGGGAGAAGAAGTACTGATGGGTGAGCACTGAAATCACTGTAAACTTCAAACATACTGCTTATGATGTACAGGAGTCTGTGCATCCGACTGGAAAAACACTTGTAACTCTGTCTAAACTTTCAGTTACAGCAACTGTCCTCCATCAGTTAAAATATTACTAACTTGGACTATATGGGTGAGTGCTAGCAGAAGAGACTTATAAAAGAGTTTGAATGGCAAAACCAACCAATATTTCCGTTAAAATAATGCAGCTTTTATCATCTAACATTAAGAGAATTAAAGGACTGGTCAAATAGAATGTTTTTAGGGGACCAATTAATGGATAATAGGTAACCAGAGCACAGGTAGAGATAATTTTAGGGCTTAAATGTATTCTCTAAAATGAGTTAAAACTTTTGTGTATTATCTCATTAGTAGTAGTAATTTGTTAAAACTCTTTCTCCCCCCACCCCCATAAACATTGCAAAGGTAAACAGCAAACCTCTTCCTAATTATCTCAGTGGTTCCCAATATATGGAAATTTCATTTTCCTGTTTTCAAATGGTCATGGCTCTTAAACACAAGTAGTATGTCTTTAAATAGATATATTCCCTAGATAACTTATGTGTGTTTTAATAACAGATCATTTATATAGAAGCAAAACAGACTTTTAAAAAATAGGACAAAAGTTTAGATAATATGTACATTACATACTTACAGGTTTTATTACAGTAACTAGTAAGTAAAATACTCAAGGTCGCCCTAACTGGTTTGGCTTAGAGGATAGAGCATAGGCCTGGGGACTGAAGGGTCCCAGGTTCGATTCTGGTCAAGGGCATGTACCTTGGCTGCGGGCATATCCCCAGTGGGGAGTGTGCAGGAGGCAGCTGATCGATGTTTCTCGCTCATTGATGTTTCTAACTCTCTATCCCTCTCCCTTCCTCTCTGTAAAAAATCAATAAAATATATTTAAAAAAATACTCAAGGTCACCCAAAAATTAGTCAAGTAGGACCAGGACCCATGTCTTCAGATTTTTGGTGTCAGGAAAAGCTGCCTTATTCTCCCAGTCACACACAGCCTCTGCCTCTGCCTGTGGTTCTCGCACAGGATTGCCAGCAGGGACTTAGGAAGCCTCAGTTGGACTGGTTTTGGCAGTTGGGGGATGGTGAATTCTGGGAAGGCGGGGAAGCCAAATAGAGTAGGAGAGTACAGCGCAATAGGGAAGCAGTAGGAAGTGGCAGAGTGCAGCCGTCCCCAACACATACAAATAAAGCAACCATCCAAATCAAGAAGAAAGATCAACAACAGAGAAGGAAAAAAGCAGAGATCTGATCTGCTTTAATTTAGTGAATAGACCACTCAGCTAAAAAATCAACCAGCAACTCATTTTCTGACTATGAAGTACTAAACCATGTGGTCAATGTGTCTAGCCTTTCAAAGATTCCTACTGTAGGAATGACATTTCTTCAGGGAACAGAGATGACAGATAAAGTGTCTGCACTAGAGGAGCTCAGAGTTTGGGACAAGGAGACAACTATTACAGTACCTGACACAGATCCATTATGAGAACATACAGAGCACTATACCTGGGCAGGAGGCTGGACCAAGCTCAAAGTAATTCAGATACTATAATGTGGATAAAAGGTTTATGCCCAAGGAAAGTTAACAAACTCATCTCTTTCTCTGGAAATGAGCAGATGCAATCAGGCAGGAAAACAATACCTTTTTCAGGGTCTAAAAGAGTGGGGATCCTCTTTGCCTGACCTAAGGAATGAGCCCAACCTTTGGACCAATCTGGTTTCTCCCCCCTCCAGGACATTCTCCCTCCACAATTTAACACGTGTTATTTAGGTGCCCACTTTAAGAGGTTGGCTCTCAGATACTTAAGGACACAGTGTTTCCTGTTTTTTTATGAGATTAATGATGAGAAAACAAGTGCATCCGATTTGAAAACTACTTGGAGGTCACATAAGCAAGAGATAAAGGACAGATTGCTGAAGTAGTTTCTGCTAGAGCTTTTGGAATGGTGGAGGGAATCAAGAGACAAATGG